ATTGTTAATGTTCTGGAGATGATAAATTGATTTATTTATAATTAACTTTCCATAGGGTAAGTAATCGCAAAAAAATCGAAAATGAAAATTTTTATATATCTTCACGTTTCAGAGGTTTCTGAATATGTTGGCATACCTTGGAGAAAATTGATGTATGTGTGTGTGTGTGTGTGTGCGTCCATGTGTGTGTGTTCGGATACAAATTTTCGTCGACGATTTCGGGAACACGGATGAAGCAATTTGAATAATTCAAAAAACATTCGATTCGTATTGATAAGGAGACGTGCTGATTAGTTTTTGTCAAAGGCAGGTCTAGCCATTCCGAAGATATGGGGCAAAAAGGGCCAAAAACGGTAACTCAGTTTTTAAGAGAACGGAGCGTCCGATTGGAATAATTCAAAAAACATTTTACTTGTATGAACAGGATGAAGATTTGATCAAATTTTCATGAAGATAGGTCTAGCGGTTTCGGAGATCTAGTAAAAAAAACTAAAAAAAATAACATTTGGCGGTCAACAATAATCATTAGACATTACACATATGCATATCAAATTATCAGATATTTTATTGAGATTTTAACAATAAGTATAAGTTTTGTTTACATTCCTATGGGTTCCGTACCAATGTTTTTTCGTTAGACAGCGACGCGGCGCTTACGCGCTTTATATTTTGTCTCTATGCAGTTAAGGCAGTACGATTGCTTTGAAAAAAAGTTCAGATCTTCCAAAATATGTCAAAATGAAGATAACATTTTTTCCAAAAAAAAATTTTTACAAAAAAAATTGTTTAAAAATTTTTTTTAAAAAAAAATTTTTTTTTTCAAAAAAAGTAATTTTTTGTCCAATTTAAAATTTCTAAAAAATCTTATTTTTTCGAAGTAAAATTTTTTCAAAAATGTTAATCGTTTTTAAAAAAATAATAATTTTTGGCACGGGAAGTTCCAGCAATTTGCCTTAAGGCACGATGCCTTAATTGCCTTAAGACAGAATTCCACTTACAGCTAGTTTCTATTTCTGTTTATTGTTGCCATCCGGAAAGAAAATCCTTTTGAAAATATCCTTTTCCAATAAAAATAGAAAAAATATTTCTTTTACGTTTTCTATCCATATAATGTCGACAATTGTTATTGGTTAGACAGGGAGCATACGACCTAATGAAAAAAAATTATTAAAAATTTGCAAACTTATTTTACACCGAATTATTAAAAAAAAATTTATGGTAAATCAAAAGTTATAAAATTATTTATACAAGTAAAATAAATTTTTGAAGTAAAACTTCTTTAGACGCGACTAGAGTGTAATTTTGGACAAATGCAACGGAAGTGCGTTACGGCAGATAAGATAAGATAAGAGTCGAGCCAATGATTCGTCATTCGCTCTCGATGATATCATTTCTGTACGGGTCGATTGTGATTAGTCGTCGCGTATGTGAATAGAGATCTGTCGTTGTATGCGTACCGGCATCAACGTTGTACGCGTACCGATATCAACGAGTAAATCGGCATAGATAAATAAATAAACATTTTAAAGTTACATCGTAGTACTAATCTTGATTTAATAAAAAAATTACAGCTGTTCAAAGAATGAGATTATATCGCCAGCGAAAAATAAAAAAAAATACCATCAGTCAATGAATGTATGTTAATTTTAATTACATGAAGTTCTTCAAACACAATTTTTACATAATGAGTGAAGTTGCGTTTGGGTCTGAATTTTTTTACTGTGCTCCAATTCGTATGAGATTTTGGAATTAGAATTTTAAATATATATCGAATATTTTTACCAAAGTTATACAATATACCAAATAGTGTTCCTTGGCCAAATTTTCTTATGGTTTTAGTTTAAATCAACTTTGACTGTTTGAATGATGTTCTAAATAAATATTTGAAGTGTTTTGATTATTATTATTTTTGGCATTTGTACCACAATGTCAACAATTACAATATAATTTTTGGAACCTAGATTTGCTTATTTAATGAAAACTCTACTAACAAATCAATAAAATCGGACGTTTGATTTAACAGTTACAAGAGATACAATGAACAAATCAAAAGCGATTTTAGAATTTACCGATATACTGTAGAAATATGAGAAAGAATTATATATAATTTAATTTTGTACAAACTTAACAAACAAATTATCAAAATTGGAGAGTTAGTTTAAAAATTACTAGAGATATAATGAATAAAATCACCAAAACTCAATCTCAAAAAAAATTCTCCATTTTCAAAAGCGATTTTAGAGTATACCGAGTTGCTGTAGATTTTTATAACTTTAGAAATATTATAGACAATTTTATTGTGCACAAACTTTACTAATAAATTAATAAAATCGGACGTTCAATTCAAAAGTTATAAAAGATGCAATAAACAAATGCACTGTGAGTTAGTATACCGATAATCACTAGAAAAGAACTCTAATAAAGGTTCATTTCTAAATGCTTATTACAATGACAAACCGATCATGCCATATTTAAAGTATGACTTTAATTCCATTATTGTTTTTAAACAGTATACATATTTTTAATGCCATTATAAATATATAATTTATAATTTATCATTATATAAATGTGTTTAATGATTGACGACACTAATAAATGTGTGCATCACGAGTGTTACCATCATATTACTAATAAACATTATTCAAAATTGTTATATGATGTATTTATTTTTACTTAAATGCCATCTTGTATAGTAGCAAATAAGTTTTACTTCAATCGCGTGTGAACCATACGCGCACTCGTTATTTTTCCCCCAGGTCTCTGTCTATTATGTGAAATCGTATCCTTTTGCACATGTCGTGTGGGATATCCTGATTTTTCGATAAAATAAACATTAACAGTGTTATCAAGGACCTAATCCGGTGGAGAGATCTCTCTCAAAGCCATTTAGGTCGTATGCAGATTTGGAAATAGGTTTTTGCCCTATTTTTTGTCACGAGAAACCCAATTTTGTACTAAATATAAATGGATATATATATATATATATATATATATATATATGTATATATATATATATATATATATTTATAATTTTTTATGAAGTAAAAATTTCATAAAGTTGAAAAACAGAACATGATTTCATTCTCTCTCATTTGAATATGAAAACATTCGAATAAAAATACGAATGAATAATAATTGACAGAATAAATATTTCGAAATGTGAAAACAAAAATGTTATTTCTGCATTTGTAAATTTGTATCGTTTTATTTTTGAATAAATATAAATAATGATTCCCATTTTAAAATAAATACTAGTGGTGTATGGCATCGTGCCTTAAGGCAAATTACTGGAACTTCCCGTACCGTAATGAAATATTTGAGAAATTTTAAACGTTTTCAAATATATTATTACAAATACAGTAACTTTCATTATTTTTGCTATCTTATTTTTATATCAGATCAAATCAAATGTAAATCATAAATCAATTTAGTTCAATCTCCAGAACATTAACAATCGTCATTTCATTTCGAATTAAATTAAAAAAAAAATAGTTGCCTAATTACACAAAATTGAAAAAGTGCTCCCGTATAGTCACAGTCTAAGCGCATTTGCAAATAATTCTGTGCAACATTTTCACTTATACTGTGCTTAGCTTGGCGGCATTTTCACATTTTTCAATAGTTATCACAAAATTAGTAAAAGTGCCCAAACAATGGTATTCTTAGTGAAAAAACATTTTGGAGTAATAATTTAAAATGACATTTTTTCAGAGTTGTATTTATAACTTATTTTAGAGTCAGAATAGAAATTTTTGTTCTTAGATTTGTAAAATCTACACAAAATTTATTATTAAATAGTGTAAATCAAAATTTTGTAAAATCTTTTATAAATATACTAAAAGTACACTAACAAGGCATTCTTGGTAAAAACGTTTTGGAGTAATAAAATAAAATGACATTTTTTTCAGTTTTGTATTTATAACTTTTTCTTAAAGTTGAAATAATTTTTTTTTTTATGTAAAAAAAAGGTAAATTTTGCTATTAAATAATTAAACCCAAAATTAAATTGAATAATAATTCATATTTTAAAATAAATATAAATAACGCAGAAAAATAACAGTTTGCTTATTGATTATTTAAGTACATTTTTTCAGTTAGGTATTTATAACTTTTTTTAGGGTCAAAGTAGAAATTTTTGTGCTTTGACTTGTAAAATCTACATACATTTTTTTTATTAAAAAAAATATACAAAAATTTTGCAAAATACTTGATAATTTATCTAAAAGTGCTCAAATAATGGTATTCTTAGTGAAAACGTTTTGGAGTAATAAAATAAAATCACATTTTTTCTGTTTTTTATTTATAACTTTTTCTTAAAGATATAAATAAGATAAGATATAAATAAGATAGAATAAAAATTTTGGTTTATTTTATGTAAAATCTAGGTAAATTTTGCTAATAAATAGTCAAACATAAAACTGTACAAATTTTCTGATAATTATTCTAAAAATGTCCAAACTTGTCATTTTTGGTAAAAACAATTTGGAGTATGAAAATAAAATGTTATTTTTTCAGTTTGTATTTATAACTTTTTTTAGAGTCGATATAAAAATTTTAGTTCAAATTATATAAAATGTAGATAAAATTTGCTATCCAATAGTTTTAATAAAAATTTTGCAAAAATTTTGTTTAATGTGCTAAGAATGCTCAAACGAGGTATTTGAAAAAAAAACAAACATTTTCAAGTAAGAAAATACAAAAACACTTTTTGTCAGTTTTGTACTCATAACTTTTTATAAAATCGAGATAGAATTTTGGGTTCTTAGACTTATGAAAACTAGATAAAATTTGCTATCAAACTGTATAAACCAAAATTTTGCAAAAAATATATACGTATTTTATATACTTGACACAAACTGTTACATTATACATATACTCCATAATCAAAAGACATCTGTCCCCTTGGCCTATAATCTTTTATCCAAGCTCGTTTTTCAAAATTATTTCGCACAAACCTATTCTTTACACATTAAACAATATTTCTTACTACTTTTTTTCAGAATGAGACCCTAGAATTAGGCCCAAAACCCAATTATTTCGACGACAAGGTCTGGACTTTGGTTCCGGGGGTTGTTTACGATTCTGCAGAAATGGGCAAAGATTTCGGAGACTGCAAACGTCAGCCTAAAGAGACTTACAACAGGGGCGAGACTGCCAGTGCAGTATTTGTAAGTACTAGAATTGATTTATAAATTAATTGTGTATTTTTTGGTGAAAGTTTGAGGGTTGTAGGTTTATTGGTTTGGGAGATATTTGGGAAATTGTAAAAAAAGTGCGCGGGGTGAAATATTTTTTTAGGAGACTTACAGTCTTATATTTTTCAGTTTCTATTGCAATTTTTGAGTATACCGAGTTGTTCTAGGGCGTTATAATGTTAGAAAATATTGTAGATAATTGAATTTTAAACAAATATACTCAACACTAAATTTAGTTTAAACTAATATTTTAAAAGATATGAATTTTTTTGACAAAATGTACCACATGACAAAAGTCCGCCAAGTGTAGTATTTGTAAGTACTAGAATTGATACATAATTTAATTGTGTATTTTTTAGTGAAAGTTTGAGGGTTGTTGATTTTTCAATTAAATTTTGATAAAAATTTGATAAAAATTAATTTTTCATCAAATTCTATATATTTTGTATAAAAAATTTAAATTAAATTTCGAAAAATATTGCAAAATTAGAGGTTACAAAATTTGTAAATATTTTTACATTGAATATAATTTTTTATATATGTATATTATATATTTTCTATTTTTTCGCATTTATTGGAAATTTTTAAAAATATTTTTAATATAAAAGCTTCAATTGAGTTTAAAATTATTATTTAATACTTTCTGTAAAATTCTACGTAATCTGTATGAAAAATTTTAATCAAATTTTAAAAATTTTGCAAAATTCGAGGATACAAAATTTGTAAATACTTTTATATTAAATATAAATGTTTTATATATGTATATTATATATTTTATATTGTTTCGCATTTTCTGGAAATTTTTAAAAATATTTTTAATATAAATACTTCAATTAATTTTAAAATTCTTATGTATTTAATTTCTGTCAAATTCTACATATTTCGTGCTAAAAATTTAAATCAAATTTTAAAAACTTTGCAAAATCTAAGGTTACAAAATTTGTATATATTTTTACATTAAATTGAATGTTTTATATATGTATATTATATATTTTATATTTTTTCGCATTTTTTGGAAATATTTAAAAATATATTTAATATAAAAGCTTCAATTAAATTTAAAATTAGTATTTTATATTTTTTGTCAAATTCTACATATTTTGTACAAAAAATTGAAATCAAATTTCGAAAAATTTTACAAAATTAGAGGTTACAAAATTCGTATATATTTTTATATAAAATATGTTTTATATATGTATATTATATATTTTACATTGTTTCGCATTTTTTGGAAATTTTTAAAAATATATTTAATATAAAAGCTTCAAATATTTTTAAAATTAATATTGAATACTTTTTGTCAAATTCTACATAATCTGTATAAAAAATTTAAATCAAATTTTAAAAATTTAGCAAAATTAGAGGTTACAAAATTTTTAAATATTTTTATATTTACATTTTTATATTGTTTCGTATTTTTTGGAAATTTTTAAAAATATATTTAATATAAAAGCTTCAAATATTTTTAAAATTAATATTGAATACTTTTTGTCAAATTCTACATAATCTGTATAAAAAATTTAAATCAAATTTTAAAAATTTTGCAAAATTAGAGGTTACAAAATTTTTAAATATTTTTATATTTACATTTTTATATTGTTTCGCATTTTTTGGAATTTTTTAAAAATATATTTAATATAAAAGCTTCAATTATTTTAAAAAATATTATCCAATACATTTTGTTAAATTATACACATTTTTTATATAAAATTTCATTCAAATTTTGAAATTTTCGTAAAATGTAAGGTTCTAAAATTTGTAAACATCTTTATACAAAATATAATATTTTATTTATATATATATACATATATATATATATATATATATATATATATATATATATATTTTATATGATTTTTCCAAAAAGTTTTGACAAATACGACTAGATTACGACATAAGTCTTTCAAAAAAAGTTTTATCAACTCAAAAAAACTTTTAAAAAAATATATTTTCTTTTAAAACTTTTACAAATAAAGATATTTTGTCAAGACGTCTAAAATCTTAAAGAAATTTATTTCCAAGTCGAGACAAGGATAATCTCTAAAAAGATTTATTATACAAATTTATGAACAAAAAATCTAGGATTTGCAGGATTTACTTGAACACTGAGGGTTTAAAGTGTGAAAAAAATCGATTGAATTTCATAAATGGCAATTTTATATGGATGAAACCAAATTAATGCAACTGCAGGAAAATGTGAACAAATATCTGTTTTATTTGATTTTATTTGAAAAATTCGCACAATAAGACATCAATGTATTATATAATTATTTACTATATATGTATTATATATTTTACATTAATTTTAAACAAATTTTCAAGGTTTTGTAGGATTTTCTTGAACACTGAAGGTTCAAAACAATATTAACTATTTAAATTTACCAGGTGCAAATAATGGGTTTTACAGCTATTTTTTCCAGATTTTCATATTTTTAAAATATGTTTATATATTTCTGATTCTATTAATTTTATTTCAGGTTTCAGGAAATCCAAGAAACGATCGTTTACATGGAAAAACTTTCCTGAAAGTTGAAAGACAGGTCGAAAATGGTGGCTGGGAAACTGTTTATACAGATGCTCATTGGGATACAAAGTTAGTATGAAAAAAAATATTATAAATAAATAAATTTAATAAAAATATTAAATATAAACTTGTTAAATGATGTACTTAAAGCTCCTGAAAGTTTGTGGTAATTTGAATTGTTTAAATCGGATAAATACAGCAAATTTTAAGGTAAGGATATGAAGAAGACTTATTTTTGGAAGCTTGTTTGCAAAGGCTGGTTTTTCGAAATTATTAATTTTAGAAATTTGCAAATTTGATAAAATATATTATTAACCTTTTATTATAGTTTGGCGTAACTAGAAAAAAATATTTACTAACTAAAATTTAGGAAAAAATGCCTTTGAACAAATTAAGTGCGCTGTGAGCAAATTTATAACTACGGTTTGAGAAATATCTTTTTTTTTTCAAAAAGTAAAAGTTGTACAAAGCTCATTTTTGGATATGCGATATATATAAACTTGTACTATCTTTTGGTTTATTAGAAAAAAATATTTACTAACTAAAATTAACAAAAAAATGCCAAAAAATTAACAAAATATTTAAATCGGATAAATACAGCAAGTTTTGAGGTAAGGATATGAAAAAGACTTATTTTTGGAAGCTTGTTTGCAAAAGCTGGTTTTCCAAAACTGTTAATTTTAAAAATTTGCAATTTGGATAAAATATAGTTATGACTTTCTACTGTAGTTTGGCGTAACTAGAAAAAAATATTTACTGACAAAAATTTAGGAAAAAATGTCATTGATTAAATAAAGTGCGCTGTGAGCAAATTTATAACTACGATTTGAAAATTTTTTTTTTTTTTCAAAAAGTAGGAGTTGTAAAAAGCTAATTTTTGGATATGTGATTTATATAAACTTGTACTATCTTTTGGCGTATTTGAAAAAAAATATTTTGAACAAAATTTTTAAAATTATGAACTTTATAGTTCTTTAAAGAAGTTCATATAAGAACATTTTGGGCTTATTTCCAAAAGCAAATTTTTCAAAACTAATTAATTTCTAAAACTTATAATTTATATATGAAATAATAACAACTTTCTGCTTTATTTTGGTATATTTAAAAAAATTAGTTACCTACAAAAATTCAAAGTTATTAAATTCTAAGCAAATCAAGTCACCACGATATGAACAAAATTTGTATTGAAATATAATTTAATAATATTAAATTATTATTTTATTTAAAAACTAAAAATCGTAAAAACCTGGTTTTTGGAAAAATGATAAATACAACTTTCTACTATATTTTTGTATATTTTACATAATTTGTTTCTAAGAACTTTAAAATACTAAAAATTTAAACGAGTTCTGAAATGTTTATATATATAATTTAATACTGCACAAATATTTTTCAGTCTCTATTGCAATTTTTGAGTATACTGAGTAGTTCTAGTGCTTTATAATATTAAACAATATTGTAGATTATTTAATTCTAAACAAATTTGCCAAATACACCCTTAAATTTAAACAAATACTTTAGGAGAAAAACAAAAATTAAAGGTTAATTCTAAGTCTAAACAATTTAAGTCCCTACGATATGAACAAAATTTTGAACTTGAGCTGTTTTTACACATTTTTTTAATTAATAACTAAATATCGTAAAAATCTGTTTTTTTGGATATATGATAAATACAATTTTCTACTATGTTTACGTATAATTTGAATAATTTAGTTTTAAATAGTTTCTGAAAACTTTAAAGTACTAAAAATTTAAACAAGATAGAGCTCCGTAATGTATATGTATATATAGTTTTATATAGCACAAATATTTTTAAGTTTCTATTGCAATTTTTGAGTATACTGAGTTGTTCTAGAGCATTATAATATTAGACAATATTATAGATTATTGAATTTTAAACAAACTAACCAAATACACCATTCAGTTTAAACAAATATTTTAGAAGATATGAATTTTTTCCGACAACATGTACTTTTGCTATATGAATATGGGGAATATAGCGACCAAATTATCTATTGCAATTTTTAAGTATACTAAATTTTTCTAGGGCATTATAATGTTAGACAATATTATACATTATTGAATTTTAAACAAATTTGCCGAATACACGATTCAGTTTAAACAAATATGTTAGAAGATATATATTTTTTTCCGACGACATGTATCTTTGCTATATGAACATAGGGAATATAGGGACCAAATTTTCTATTGCAATTTTTAAGTATACTGAGTTGCTCTAGAGCTTTATAATATTAGACAATATTTTATACTATTCAATTTTAAACAAATTTGCCAAATACACTTTTTAGTTTAAACAAATATTCTAGAAGATATAAATTATTTTCCCAAAAAAGGTACGTGTAGTTTGTAGCGCGTAGGAACTAATTGACCGAAATAATTGCATTAGTATAATATATTGTTTATTAGGTTTTATTAAGTTTATAAGTATACCGAGCTGTTGTAGGGCATTATGATGTTAGACAATATTGTAAATTATTTAATTTTAAACAAATTTGCCATATACACCATTCAATTCAAACAAATGTTTTAGAAGTTATAAATTATTTTCCATCAAAATTCATATATTTTTTTCTATTTTCCAGGATGCACTGGAGAAGGATAAATCTGATTACAGGAACAAGTGACGTCACTGTTGAATGGACTATTTCTGATGACGTCACACCAGGAACATATCGTATCAAACATTTTGGAAACTTTAAATTTTTATTAGGAGGAATTTTCCCATACGAAGGAACCAGTAACGCCTTCCAAGTTTTGTAAAAAATTTGAAAAATTAAAATTTGACTGATGTAAAATGAATGAAATTTTGAAGGATTTTTGTATATATTTTCAATAATATAAGCATGATAAATAATAATGCATGTAGTTTTATTTATGTGTATAACAAATTACAGCTGCAAAAATACAAAATGTGGTTTGTGGAACAAGTATATGTGTTTGGTAAATTGTTTATAACTGCTAAAGTATTAACGGGATGTAAATGGTATCTTTAGCAAATTTATTTAAAATTGAATAATCTACAATATTGTTAAACATTACAATGCACTAGAGCAACTCAGTATATTTAAAAATTGCAATGGAAAATTTGGTCCCTATATTCCCTAGAGCCAAGGTACATTTTGTCGAAAAAAAAATTCATATCTTCTAAACTATTTGTTTAAACTGAATGATGTATTTCGAAAATTTGTTTGAAATTAAATAGTGTAAAATATTGTTTAACATTATAATGCTCTAGGGCAACTCCGTATACTTAAAAATTGCCATGGAAAATTTGGTCCCTATATTTCCAATGTTCATACAGCAAAGGTGCATTTTGTCAGGTGAAAAAAATTCATATTTTCTAAACTATTTGTCTAAACTAAATCATGTATTTGGCAAATTTGTTTAGAATTGAATAATCTACAATATTGTCTAATATCATAATGCCCTACAACAACTCGGTATACTTATAAACTTAATAAAACTCAATAAACAATATATTATACTGATACAATTATTTCGGTCAATTAGTTCTTCGTATAGTGCTGTCAATTAAATCTGTTTTCGACCTGAAATCGACCTCAACAAATAGGTATGTGCACACGGTAATAAATTCCGGGAATATCGATATTATTATAATTAAATTCTGATACATGAGTGTGCAAGCCTCATTAGATGTCAAATTCAACGTGAATTAATGGAAATAATAGTCGGAGAGCTTCGGGGTTTGAGTAATAACTCACAAATTTTATATGAAAGCACTATTTTTAAGTTAGATAGGGTGAAACTAAATAAAATTTACAATATTTCCTAGCGAACACTTTTATACTGATACGTTTCAAGAATTAATTTATAGCTGAACAATATATTATTAGATTTTTTATATATGAATATGCATGCTTATGTTGCATTCTCAGTGAACGAGTTAAAACAGCAAATCGTGATTAACACAATTCGATGGCAAATTGAGAGTATTATATAACGGACTTTTTGAATTTTTAAAATATCTCAAAGCGTTCTCAAGATATTACATTTTTAAACATTTCGATTTCGCAGGATCCATATTGATTTTTACAACTTATACAATTTGCAAAGTGTAAAAATTCAATTTTGTAAAAACTATTGCAGATATTTTGGTGATTCAAAAAGTTGTTCTAAAAACATTTTCAATTTGCCATCGAATAGTAATACTCTCGATTTCCAATTTTCACTAATTCATTAAGAATATACATTATACATTAATAAATATTCAGGATTTGGAAAAATAGTTAACAATGCAAGTCGATAATATGTATTTTTATAATTAATTAATATATTTTTAAGATAATTTTTCATGTCCGATTGTGTTATTTGATTCTTTCAATATAAGTATGCAAATTTAGGTTGCATTCTTAGTGAACGAGTTAAAACGGCAAATCGTGATTAACACAGTTCGATGGCAAATTGAAAGTATTATATAAGAGACTTTTTGAATTTCTAAAATATCTCAAAGCGTTCTCGAGATATTTCATTTTTAAATATTTCGATTTCGCAGGATCCATATAGATTTTTTTGGGTCTCAAAAAACATACTGATTTATAAATACGTTTGTGTAATACTTTACAATTTCTCTTCTAACTTCTGAGCCGTTTAATATAAATAAATGAAATATTCAGCAAATTTATACAAAATTAAATAATCTACAATATTGTCTAACACCATAATGCCATAAAACAATTATTTTACCAGCTCTCGCACTAAAACCGCACTCGCATGAATTTCGTATGCGAGTCGTGTAACATTTCGAACATAACATATTGATTGAGGCATATTCAACAAATAATTATTTTCTATGGAGAAAATTATACATATGAACAAAAAAATTGTTTTGGAACAATATAGGTGATTTAATTTGAAATATTTTTTTTAAAAATTAGTGGAACAAATTAACGAGAGGAATGGATTTATGTAAAAATTTATGTAAAAATTACGTAATGGGTAAAAGAGCTATTGGTTTATAAAGGAAAATTAAATTTACATATTGTTACCAATTACATATATTGATTAATAGTTTTATTTGGCAAATTAAATGTTCATTTATTATTTAAAAATCAAATTTACATAAAAATATTTTCAATTACAAACTTGATGAGTATTTTGATTATTTCTATCTATTTGTGTTATTTTTAAGGTGTCTGGGTACAATTTGTGCCAAAATCAGATCATGATATGTTCTAATAATAAATTCAACAAAGAGATGACATTTGACAATATGAGATTTAGTGCAAGATTTTTGGAAATTTGCCAAAAATAATGATAAATCTATAATGCACAGTATGTGCACATTGATAATATATTTAAATTTCATGTCAGAATTAAACTTAGATTTGATTTGTGTGAAAATGGAATTGAGGTTGAAAAAATCTATATTATGGTTTAAATTAATAATATGTTCGGTTAACATTGTCTTAAATTGCTTAGGATTTTCATGGGTATTTTAGATTGTTTATTCAGATAGTCGCAAATATTTTGTACTTTTAATTAAAGAACCATATTTTTTAGTATTTTTTGTGTTTAGTAAATACTGTAAGGGACATTATACCCAAATTCCAGGGCTGTAGTACAAACGGTGCGTCCTGAATAGATTCCTAAATAATACAAGGTACATTTAATGTACTTTATTCAGAGATACGCAAATAATTTACACTTTTTGTTAGAAACTTATAATTTTCAGTATTTTTTATATTGAGTAAATACGTTCTCTTCAAAATGTAAAATTTTTGGGTTGAAAAAATCTATATTATGGTTTAAATTTTTATATGTTCGGTTAGCATCGTCTTAAATTGTTTAGGATTTTTTGAGTAATTTTGATGTTGATGAAGAAGTTATATATTAATATAGATTCTATATGAATTCTAAATTTATAAGTGAGAAAATATATCGATTGAACTGTTTATTCCTTTAAATAAATTATAAGACAATTTACTAATTGAGAAAATCGTTTCTTTGAAAATGGTTTGTTTGAAGTCGTCGAGTAAATTATTGATCGATTTTAATTGAAGAAACCTCTAAAGGACATTTAATTACTAATACGTTTATAATGAGGGTTCATAAGCAAATACAACCCTGTATGAATAAATACACACACACACATATATATATATATATATATATATATAATTAAATAAATACTTGCATCTAATTTGCCAACCCCTAAAGTACAAATATTGTTATTACAAATATTATATTATTCTTGTTTGAACATTCATAACTTTTAAACTGTTTGTCAAATATAAATTGTATGTTTGACGAATTTGTGCAAAATTAAATAGGTTTTAAAGTTTTCTAATATCATACGACCCTACAGCAACTCGGTATACTTTAAAATTAAGATTGAAAATAGAAAATATATCAGTGCTCTTTTTTGCATGTACTTGTGAACTTGTTTAGTATTTTTCTTGTAACTTTTAAAATATTTGTCAAAAATAAATGAAATATTTGACGAATTTGTACTAAATTGTGCAATAAATATTTATGTCTAATATAAAATAAACCTAAAACAACTCGGTGTACTTTAAAATTAAAATTGAAAATAGAAAATATATCTGTGCTCTTTTTTACATGTATCTGTGCTTTTGTTTATGATTTTTCTTGTAACTTTTAAAATATTTGTCAAAAGTAAATGAAATATTTGACAAATTTGTACTAAATTGTGCAATAAATATTTGTGTCTATTACGAAATAAACCTAAAGCAACTCGGTATACTTTAAAAATGATATTGAAAATAGAAATATCTGAGCTTTTTTCTGCATGTATCTGTGCTTTTGTTTATGATTTTTCTTGTAAATTTTAAAATATTTGTCAAAATTAAATGAAATATTTGACAAATTTGTACTAAATTGCACAATAAATATTTATGTCTAATATGAAATGAACCTAGAGCAACTCGGTATACTTTAAAACTGATTTTGAAAATGAAAATATCTGAGCTTTTTTTTGCATGTATCTGTGCTTTTGTTTATGATTTTTATTGTAACTTTTAAAATATTTGTCATAAGTCAATGAAATATTTTACAAATTTGTACTAAATTAAATAATTTATATTATTTTCTCATATCATAATACTCTACAGCAACTCGGTATACTTTAAAACTGATTTTTAAAATAGAAATATCTGAGCTTTTTTTTGCATGTATCTGCAATGAAATATTTGACAAATTTATACTAAATTGTACAATAAATATTTATGTCCAATATGAAATAAACCTAAAGCAACTCGGTGTACATAAAAATTGCAATTAAAAACAAAAGTTTAATTTGTTATTCTATTCCTAGTACAACACCAAAATTTCTATTTTACCCTCAGTGTTCTGATTTTTCCAGCAAATTCTATTAATATCTGAATCAATACAAAATTCTACATCGTTCTATATAGAATTGTACGTTCTTGTGGTGTTATTATGACTGTTTTGTAATTAACTTGTCTAGGAAAATCGTGTTTTGATTTCATGCCATGGATTTAATCAAATCTGTTTACATTGTCTGACTGAAATTCTCTCTCTTTAATATATATATATATATATATATATATATATATATATATATATAATAAAGACTTTGTTCTTCAACATATTCAAAATTTACTTTGATAAATTTTAAGAACAAATCTCTCTTCTCAAAAGGTTGTATGAGCCGTGAAATATATTTGTGTCTTTTTGTGAAGTTTTTGAAATAAATGAAAAAATTGTTTGGGAACATATGTATTTTTATTTTTGCTAACAAAGTATATATGTTCAAAAACAACATACTAAAATTTCAAGTCTTTATTTCAAACCTTGTGGTCTGACGAGCTCATCAAAATTTACATTAACAAAATAAATCAAATCTCTTCCCGCG